TCATAGTCAAATTATCAAAAGTCAATGATAAAGAGCAACTCTTGAAAGCAGTATGAGAAAACTATCTCATTTCAGGGAACAATTATCTGATTAAAACCCAACTTCTCAATAGAAACCACAGGCCATGGGGTGGATATTCCATGCAGATTTAAGACATTGCTTGTGACACCCGCATCTCATAACAGAGTGCCTGGGTTGGAGTTCCCAGCTAAACTCCCAATTCCAGCTTCCAGCTAATGCACACCCTGCGAGGCAGTGTGCAATGGCTCATGTGGTTGGGTCCCTGCCACCCACATGGGAGACTCATATTGAATTCTGGCTTGCTGGCTTCATCCTGGCCCAGCCCTGGTTGTTGCAGACATTTGGGGAGTGACCCAGCAGGTGGGAGGTGTCTCTCTCTCTCTCTCTCTCTCTCTCTGCCTTTCAAACAAATTAAATAAATAGATAAAAATAAAAAAGAAGTCAAAAGAAAAAAATGGGAAAACAGGGGCTGGTGCTGTGGTGCAGCTGGTTAAAGCCCCATCCTGCAGCTGGCATCCCATATGGATGCAGGTTTGAGTCCTTGCTGCTCCACTTCTGATCCAGCTCCCTGCTAATGTGCCTGGGAAAGCAGCAGAGGATGGCCCAGTACTTGGACCCCTGCACTCATGTGGGAGACCTGGAAGAAGCTCCTTGCTTCTGGATTTGGATAGGCTCAGCTCCGGCTGTTGCGGCCATTTGAGGAGTGAACCGGCAGATGGAAGATCTCTCTCTATGTCTCTACTTCTTTCTGTAACTCTGTCTTTCAAATAAATAAATCTTTTTAAAAAATGGGAAAACATTCTTAAAATGCTGGAAGGAAAAAAAAAACACTAAATCCGTTAGCCCAGAATTCGATATCCAATGAAGATATCATTCAACTGGCAAGGTAAAATAACAATATTTTTAGATAAAATAAAAATAAGATAATTTGTGGCCAATAGACCTGCACTGTAAGAAACACTAAAGGAAGTTCTTTAGGCTAAAGGGAAATAATATCAGATGGAAACTCTGATCCTCAAGAAAGAATGAAGAGCATTAGAAATGACAAATATCTAGACAAATCAAGACTACTTTTGTGGCCCATATCCTTTTAATTTCCTAATAAATTGCGCCCTTAAAACTAAAGGTAAAGTATTATCTTGGAGGATCTATTACTGGTAGAAGTAATACATAAAATATGAACTCCAAGTTCTCATAGCCCTCCTACTGTTAGATGGTATTTATTTTATAGGATGCTTGGAATTTGGAACTGCTTCTCTTATCTACTCTAGTCCCCTTCCACCACTGCAGGTTTGCTTTTAGGTTACATTGTATAGGAAAGGGATAGAGGATGGAACCTGAGCAAGCTAACAGAAGAGGAGGTTGACAGAACACAGGATATATACGACTGAGGAGGAGGATCAAATGTATGGGAGAACAGGTTGAGATTAAATATTCCCATGGTTAAAAAAAACCCAAGTTGCCAGGAACAAACATAAGCCTCTGTTCTAGATAGTGACAGAAGCAGGGGAAGAGAAGTGGTCTCCTCTCTGACCTCGCAGGCCCCTCACTCTATGGGAATTGCTAATCTTCTATAGGCTTGACAAGAATGTCTCTGTTTCAGGCAGGACTTGGCTCCTCCAGGCGCTTGCTCTCCAGATGGTACTGAGCGTGAACAGAAATGGGATCTGGGAAAAACTGAGGGAATTTACAGATACAGAGCTAAGGCCTGCCCTGTGGGAAGGGGAAGTCGAGGAAGTAGGATGGGGGATGCACCATCTATGTGAATCAGAAACATCAGAGGAAGACGCAAGGAAGGATAAGCACGTGCGTGGAGAAGACTGGGCTGCTCCAGGTGCTGAACTTCCCGGGGAACATACTGAGTTCTCTGGAAGTTGGGTTAAGGTGTTGTCGGCCTCAAAGGGGAAGGGATTTTTGCATGTGAGTGGGAAACAATGATCTGGAATCAATAAGAAGGACAAGGAAGATGCCCCTTTGACCACCTTGAAGATCTGCGCTTCCCTCATACAATCTATTTTTACCTTGCTGAAGAGAACTACCATTACCTGGCCAACCCTACAACACTTCATTGCTTCTCTTCTCTTATTACTTCAGTCTAATCACACGCTGAATATTTTCCAAATTCACCCTTGAATTACATAGGGTGGAAGGTATGTGTGAGAGATGACTCTGGGATCCAGACAGCTGTTTTACTGCTTAGGATACTGTAGGCATTGTAGAGAGTAGCCTTGGGGGCATTTGGGCAGTCACTTAAGACAAAGGGGGGAATCAACTCCCTAGCTCTGCCCAGAGATACAAACCGCCTACAGGGGACAACCTCATGGACCATAAAAAAATCATCTCACTTTAATCGAGAAGCAGTGTAGTTTAAGCATGCTTCTTTAATTATAGTTCATATTTCAACAAACAGCCTCTCATCCTGCCTCTTGCCCCCTTACAAGCATGTAGTAACAATCACCTTGACTAAAAAAGACTGCTGCTATAGGTATTCCTTTCAGATTAAGGTCTGTGTTCCAGCAGTTGTCAGTGCCTACCTGATCTGTCTACCTGCTGCTTCCTTGGAGTGTGTTCAATAAATATAACTTTGCTCACTCTCCCCACTGGTGAATTCTTCTCACAAGCTGTGATATAGGCCTCAGCTGTTCACTTCCTGTGACAGGCATGTATACAAGTCCTCAATTTCCATCAGATTGTTTTTCTTTTGTTCTAAGGAGTCTTTAATTTCCCCCCCTTATTCCTTTATAAATCTTGCTTTGTACAAATTCCATTTTTGTTCTGCCAAGGATTTGATATCTCTTTCAGAAAGAAGACTAGGTGAACTGTACCAGGATGAGAACTACAAAAACCAAAGAGACTGATTAAATGATGGGATGGAAACATAGACTATCTGTCTCTTAGAAATTAAAAAAAAAAAAATAGTCATTATCTTGTAGGCCAACTCTCTGAAGCACCATGTCAAAAAGGATTCTGAGGTTTAGACTGTTTAATATGGGCTCTAAAATGGAGTGCTAACTGCAATTAACTAGTGAAGTCTGCAGTGGGAGGACACCACATGCTCGAGTGCCATCCCTTGCCTGGGTGCCTTTGATGCGGGTAAGGCAGGGAGTCAGCGAGGGACAAGGAGCTAAGAACTGCCAACATCCAAGATACGAGCACAGCCCAAAACCTATCACCTTCCATGAGCTGACTCAACATGGCTCAAGACTCAGTGCACGTATTCCTCATCGCGAAGCTAAGCCTCACTTTCCGTCAGGTACCAGATGCCATGACACTGTGAATATTACCACATGTACTACAGCCCCACCATAAACCCTATCTCCTTTGGATCTGCAATCAGGAATCTACACCAGGCCACTCCTCGTATCCTATACAAAAGACAACTCCCAGCATGGAGAGCAGAATTCTTCCTCTTGAGGTAGCCTACAGTCACACCTGAGTGTGTACCATCCCTTTGCTTTTTCTTTTTTTTTTTTTGACAGGCAGGTTACACAGTGAGAGAGACAGAGAGAGAAAGGTCTTCCTTTTCTGTTGGTTCACCCCCCAATGGCCGCTGTGGCTGGCGTGCTGCGCCAATCCGAAGCCAGGAGCCAGGTGCCTCTCCTGGTCTCCTATGGGGTGCAGGGCCCAAGGACCTGGGCCATCCTCCACTGCACTCCCGGGCCACAGCAGAGAGCTGGCCTGGAAGAGGGGCAACCGGGACAGAATCCGGCGCCCCGACCGGGACTAGAACCCGCTGTGCCGGCGCCGCAAGGCGGAGGATTAGCCTAGTGAGCTGCGGTGCTGTCTCACAGTTGTATTCTTACACACGGGAAGACAAGAAGCTGGACTAAGTCTAGCGAGGGGATCTCTTTGAGCCCAGTGGGGACTCTAGATCCCCAAACATAATTTGGGGTTCCTAAACCCACAACAGTTTTACAGATGGGGACAGACTGGCTGGCTCAGCAAGTAAGAGAACTCTTAGGCTGATACCAAGAAGTCAGGGCTGTGTGTCAGTGAAGCTCAGGACATGTCTGTCAGGTCTTCGTCAGGGCCTGATTGAAGAGTTAGGAACCAGGGTGAGAGCGGGAAAAGCCTGTTTATAATAACTGACGTTTGCTAAATTCCTCACCTGAGCTGGCTGGCTGGTTCAGAAAGGGCTGGACTTTGCAGCATCCCTCTCTCAAGTCAACACTGCCCTTTTCATCTGCTCCGACAGATGAAGGCAAGGAAGCCATGGGACCAGTCGATCTGCCCAGATTTCCCCCGTGCCAACAGTCATGGGGGATTTGAGTTTTCTACCTAGATCAGCATCCAACCTGCTTCTTAAAGCTAACAGAACACCTTGGCTCTCAGATGCCGATTTTGTTTTGTTCATTAGGAACCACTGATCCCTACCTTACCCCAACCACACAGAGGCCTTTCCTTTCCTACTCCCCTGAAGGAGTGCTGAGTCAAGAGCAAGCCCTTGTCCATAGTGGTGACTTGAGTTGAAATCTGTACTCTCCTAAACAGACCAGGAGCTGGAGGGGAAGACACAGAAGAAATTCAAGTTTGAGCTTCACCAGTTGGTTGGCTCTGGGATGGGCCTGAATGTTTAGCTCTGAGGGCAGGGGCCATGCAGGGGAGGTGGTCTTCTTACTGTTGGGTCAAAGTGGACGGTAGGTTGCTCTGTGTGTGAACAGGGGTGGCAGGTGCTCCTTAGTAGCCATATCTGTGTGTTAGGGATAAGGGTGAGGAATGGTGAACGAATGACCCTTGGGTATGGTTAAGGCCGGGACAGCGCCTGAGAAAGGTCCATGAGGCCTGTAACAGATCCATGAGCAAGGGTAGAAACACCCTCCTTCCCACCCGCGCTCTCCAAACCCCAGGAAATTCTTGCTCCCCCACCCCATCAGCGAGAAGATTCTAGAGCGAGCCTCGTGTGGGGCGCAAAAGAGAAGTGCTAGATGCGGGCGCCGCTTGGTGCTTTCCAAAAGCACCACCCCACTTCGGCATGTCACCTCTGGGAGGAGTCAGGTGGGTCGTCGCAGCTCCAAGACTGCCTGCCGGGTCCGGAGCGTCGGCCTCCCCGAGGGCCGAGAGGAGCGCTTCGGAGTAAGCCCACGGGGTCCGGGGTCCCGGGGATCCCGGGGTGAGCGGCCGCGCCCGGGCAGCTTCGGGCTCCCGAGGGTGGGAGTAGGTGCCCGGCGGGCGGGCCGTCAGCTGCCCGGCCCGTCGCCTGCCTCCCCGCCCCCCGGCTTCCTGCGGAGGCCGCGGCCGCCATGTTGTTGTGGGGCTGAGGCGGCGCCGGCAGAGGCGAGCGCCCTTGACAGGCTGCGCAACAGGTTCGCCGGCGGCCGCCTGACGACCGACGCGGCGGCGGCGGCGGCCGAGCAGGGTCTCCCGCACCCGTCCGCGCGCGCGCGCTGCGGGTGCCGAGGAGCGCGGGGTCGCGCCGTGACGTGCGGGAGGCGCGGCGCCAGGTGGGTGAGAGCCGCTCGGCTCGCCGGGGCTGCCGCAGGGCGCGGGGCAGGTGCGGGTGCTGCTGCCGCGCCGCGCCCGCCGCCCAGAGGCTCTGAGGGCCGGGCTGAGGCAGCTGTGCGCCCCGGACGACGGGGACGGGTCCTCGGGAGCCTCTGCGGCCCCCGGGCTAGGCCCCTGGCGGGCTTGGCCGCGCCGGGCGGAAACCTCCGGCCCCGGGTTCCTGCCCCCGCGGCGGGGCCGGGGCGGACGCGGCGGGGCCGGGGACCTGGCCGGCTCTTCCCTGCTGCGGAGCGTGGGCCCCTGACCGCGGCCTCGTCTGGCAGGTGGCGGGGGCGGCGTGGCCCCCTGGCTTCGGGAGTGCGGGCCGAAGAGAGCCCTGGGCGCACCGCACGCTTCTTCGGGGCCCCATTTTATTTGGGCGGAGTTGGTTTTTTCCCTCTTGGTCATGGCTGGTGCGGAATGTCAGGTGAGCCGCATCCCGGTGCGTCAAAGTGGCCCCAGTCGCGAGAGGACTGTGGGCGGATCTGGGCGTCCACGGCTCGCGTTAAGCCAAAGTTGGGAAATGCTGAAATGCGACTTAGGCGTTGTTGAATTCCAGGTATACAGCAGGCACGGCGAGGTAGCGTCTCTGAGACCAGAGTAAAGTTTATTGCTTATTAAAAAAAAAAAAAAAAGGGCTACATGTGCAGATTGGGTAAACTGAGGCTAAAACTGCAGCTCTATTTGGATTTTTTAGTCATGCACTTTGTCGCTGAATGATTGCCGATGGCAAGTATGCTCCATTTGAAACTTGTGTTAGTAGAGAATTAGGAATGTTTTTTGATAGAACCAGCCACTTTGCCGTAGGCATGAAGGCATTCCTACAGAAATGACTGCCTAGTTTATCTCGTCAGTGTTGTTGCTTACCTAGAGGCAGGCAAGATGTGACTTGAGATTTTGTGTTGTTGGTCAGCTTAATTTAGGCAGCACTGACTGTAGGTTAAGCTTCCTAAGCCTTTCAAGAAAATTAAATGCCTCCCTCCCTGTGCGGATTTGCAATATTGTTAATCAGTGATAAAGCTAAAAGCAACCCAGAAATGTCACATAGAAATCTTTTCGTGAATTAATGATAGTGCCCCTCAAAACTTACAAATAGTAGCAACTCTGACGTGCCCACATTTAAGTTTATTGGTTGTGGCTGTTATTCCCTTATAATTTCAAAAGTAAATAAATTGGAAATATGTTTGTGAAGGATCTTGGAAAATGTGTATTGTTGTGGTTTTGATACAACATTAATATGTAATCAAAAAGCTTTTTTAACCCTTTAATGGATTAATAATTGTTCTTTTTGCTTGCCTTTATAATAAGAAGTAGACTGGTCTGAGAAAACTTGACCTGTATTGAATTATTGAACGGGGAGGAACTGTTGTTAGTTTCACACATCTCAATGGGAAAATTCTGGTCTTTCCTGAAAATGAGGTAATGTGTTCACATTCTGGGAGTTAGATTTATAGTTTTTTTTTTTTAACTATATTTGCACAAAAACAGAATGGTATACACCCACCACCCAAACTCAGCAGCTTTCAAGATTTTCATTAGCCATCTTTTTTTCTTTTCTGATTTTATTTTTTTAAAGATTTATTTATTTATTTGAAAGGCAGAGTTACAGAGAGGCAGAGACAGAGATAGAAATAGAGAGAGGTCTTCGATCTGCTGGTTCACTCCCCAGTTGGCTGCAACAGCTGGAGCTGCGCTGATCTGAAGCCAGGAGCCAGAGCATCTTCTGGGTCTCCCATGTGGGTGCAGGGGCCCAAGAACTTGGACCATCCTCTACTGCTTTCCCAGGCCATAGCAGAGAGCTGGATCGGAAGTGGAGCAGCTGGGACTGGAACTGGCACTCACATGGGATGCCAGCACTGCAGGCCACGGCTTTACCTGCTTTGCCATGTGCCGGCCCCATCTTTCCTGATTTTATATCTTAGTCATTTTATCCTATACAGTTAGTATAGCTTTTTTTTTTTTAAAGGTTTATTTATTTATTTGGAAAGTAGAGTTATAGAGAGAGAGGGAGACACAGAGTGAGAGATGAGACATCTTCCATCCTCTGGTTCATTCCTCAGATGACTGCAACAGTCAAGGTTGGGCCAGGCCAAAGCCAGGAGTTTCATCTAGATCTCCTATGTGGGTGGCAGGGGCCCAGATACTGGGTCATATTCTGCTGCTTTTCCTAGGCCATTAGCAGGGCACTGGATGGGAAGTAGGGCAGCTGGGACATGAACCAGTGCCCATATGGGATGCTGGTGTCCCCGGCGGCAACTTAACCCGCTATGCCACAATGCCAGCCCCAGTATCTTTCTTTTTTTTTTTTTTTTGGACAGGCAGAGTGGACAGTGAGAGAGAGAGACAGAGAGAAAGGTCTTCCTTTACTGTTGGTTCACCCTCCAATGGCCGCCGTGGCCGGCGCGCTGTGGCCGGCGCACCGTGCTGATCCAATGGCAGGAGCCAGGTACTTTTCCTGGTCTCCCATGGGGTGCAGGACCCAAGGACTTGGGCCATCCTCCACTGCCTTCCCGGGCCACAGCAGAGAGCTGGCCTGAAAGAGGGGCAACCGGGACTAGAACCTGGTGTGCCGGCCCCGCAAGGCGGAGGATTAGCCTAGTGAGCCGCGGCGCTGGCCATTAGTATCTTTTTTAAAAGTAGAAAATTTCTTACATAACCCAAAGGTTTTTAGTTTTGTTGTATGTTTAATACAGAGTTTGACAGATTTCCATTTTTCTGGTAAAAGAAAAAGTATTTGTTTGGTACCTCCTTCACCTATACTTGCGCATCCATTAGTGTTAAAGTACACCTGCCGTGGTTGTCATGTATCGAGTGTTTGCTACTTGGTAGGCCCTGTGCTAAGTGTTTTATGTTGTCATTTAAAGCCCACCAGGGGTCTCGGGGTAGATGCTGTCCTTCCACCAAAGATGAGAGGGCTTCAGCAAGTTCCTGGAAGGGGCAAGTACTTGGTGTGAGTGGTTAACTCATGCTTGGGGTGCCTGCCTCCTGTTATGAGGTTGCTTGGGTTCTGGTCCCAGCTCCACTTCCAGTTCAGCATCCTAACAATGCATGCCATGGAAGGCAGCAGGTGTCCCTCAAATACTTGGGTCCCTGCCACCCAATCCAGAGACCTGGATTGAGTTCTGGGCTCCTGGCTTCAGCCTGGTCCATCCCTGGCTGTTATGGGCATTTGGGGGGTAAGCCGACCGATGGAAGGTCTCTCTCTTCCTCACTTTCAGTCTACCTTTCAATAAATGAATAAGTGTTCATGGGAAATGCATATTATGAAAATATGCATAAATTTCAGATTTCTTTTTGCTGTAAAATTTTCAGTTCAGTTTTTCCACACACTTAACATATTTTTTATTCATTTGAAAGGCAGAGCTACACATAGAGAGGACAGAAAGAGAGAGAGATTTTCCATCTACTGGTTTACTCTCCAAATGGCCACAGCAGCCAGGATTTGGCCAAAGGAGTCAGAAACCCAAAACTCAATCTAGGTCTCCCACACCGGTGGCAGGAACCCAAGCACTTGAGGGTGGTCAGTACTCAAACGAGACACTGAGCTGTGGGATACAGGTGTTCCCAGCGTAATCCACTGTGCCACAGTAACTCTCCTCTACACACTTCTAGAGTGCCCTCACCCACTAATGAAGTGTTAACCTGGAGGTAACTGCTCCAGTTCCCAGGGCTAGTGACTACAAAATTCAAGTATCAGGATAAGCACCTGTGCCCTCATCTGATACAGTCATCTGGATTCAGAGATTGAAGAAAAAATTTTATGGGAATTACAATGAATTTTTATATACTATATTTGCTTATAAAACATTAACTAAAGTTCTAGAAATGATTCAGAGTAAACTAGTTACATTACTAAAATGTGATATATTTGTTACCATCTAACAGTATATTTTCTTTTTGGTACTTTTGTAAAAGATAGATAGATTTATTTATTTATAAGACAATTACACAGAGAGTGCAAGTGAGGTTTTCCATTCTTTGGTTCACAAATGGCCACAATAACTGGAGTTGCGCCACATTGAAACCAAGAGCCTGGAACTCCATTCGGGTCTCCCACATGGATGCAGGGGCCGTCTTCTCCTACTTTCTCAGGCACATTAGCAGGGAACTGGATTGGAAGCTGTAACCCTCTGCGCCACAACACTGGCCCTTGCCTTTTTTTTTTTTTTTTTTGATACCTTATGTCCTTATGTATTTTTGGAAATATTTGTAGGAAGACTATTCTTGAAGAAGGCTAAAATGGCTTTTTTTTTTTTTTTTTTTTGGTACTAATTGTTAAAGCCAGGATTCTAAATATAAAGCAGAAAAGTAAGAATGTTTAGAATTAATTCTGTAAATGAATAGATTTGCAGTTGAAAGTGCATGAGAAATGCTGCAATTTTTACTTGACTTTATTTTTCGACTTTGTACCGGCCTACGCTCACAGAGCACAGAGACTAATACTGGAGTTCCCTTGGGTATTCTTGAGAAGGGGGAACTAAACTTGTCTTAAAGGATGTGATGGCGGAGAGGAAGTGGGAGAGGAAGGTAGGAAACTGAGCAGAGAGCGGCCAGTGACTAGATCAGAAGCAGTAGTTTTCACAACTCTGAAGGGGCAGCGTATTTCATTTGTAGAAGGTCTGGTATGATTTTGAGTTTTGTTTAGAAAGTAATTTCACAACTGCATCAGGGCACTGAATGGGTAACTTACTGTGCAGCTGTTCAACAGTGACCGTGGAAGACATTTTTGGGTCTATTTCCAGACGGTAGACATTCGATTTGTTTTTATGTTTCCAGATCATTTTCTTTGCAAGTGCATTATTCACTTTAGAAAAAGTTCGTGTGGTTTTAATAACAGTTTCATTTACTGTTATCATAACCATGGTGGATAAGAGTACAGGCTGTCAAGTTAGACCTCCTACTGCCAATTCCAGTGCTGAATATCTGTATGACCTTGGGCAAGTCTCTTTAGTTCTATAAACTTCTGTTTTCTCCGCAGTAAAATGAGGATGGTAGTGCCTATCTCAGTGTTGTACTTGAATGTAGTATAAAGTGCATAGCATAGTGAATAAAAATAAGAATTAACATGAATAAATTAAAATAAAAAGAATTGAATAAGTTAGTAAATCTTTATTTTTTAAATTTATTTCATAGATAGAGTTAGACAGAGAGAGAGAGACAGAGAGAAAGGTCTTCCTTCCATTGGTTCACCCCCCCCCAAATGGCCACTACGGCCGGCGTGCTGCGCCGATCCAAAGCCAGGAGCCAGGTGCTTCCTCCTGGTCTCCCATGTGGTGCAGGGCCCAAGCACTTGGGCCACAGCAGAGAGCTGGATTGGAAGAGGAGCAGCCAGGACTAGAACCTGGTGCCTATATGGGATGCTGGCGCCACAGGCAGAGGATTAACCAAGTGAGCCACAGCGCCAGCCC